TTTTTTAGATTTAGATGAGTGATCAAAAGAGAAAGCTTCTGGAAATAGTAGCCTTTAAAAAGCAGTTAAACGCATTGCCAATATTTCAAAATGCATCCACCAGCAGAAAGTATTTGCATCTATTGCAGAAGCGGCGTTCTACTATTATTAAAAAGATGTTTTTGTTGAGGAAACAATATTTTTTGTTGTTTTCGTCTGCTCAATACCTTTCTAAGCAATCCCGATTATATTGGACAAAAGTTAGTATGCTTGTGCACCTCTATACTAAGGTTTATTAACTATTTTTCATTTCCAAAGGAACGTTCCCAAACGTTTTGGGAAGTAGACTGTCAAGTGAATGGTGACGTGTTCTTTAAGAGCAATTTTAGAATGAAGAGAAGTACGTTCCTTGAGCTGTGTGGATATTTAAGAGTGTTGGAAAAAGAGGATACCCCTTTACGTAAGGCTATCACTTTACACAAACGGGTAGCCATTGCTATCATCATTGGGATCATCGGCAGAATATCGCACCATAGGAAACACGTTTGGAGTTGGAAAGTCCACTGTATGTGAAATAGTTAAGGAGTTTTGTATTCAGACTTGGAAGGTTTTAAGTCCAACTTTCATGCCAACTTTTCCATTGACGAGACAAAAAATTGCCGAATTAGTCCAGGGATTCGAAATTATTGGCTTTCCTCAGTGCATGGGAGCAATTGGTGGGATAAATCTACGTTTTTGTACCAATGTATGTGTCAATAACTTTTTAATTAAACCTTGCAGACGGTTGTCATATTGAGATTCATCCTCCTAGACAAGATGCCACGGACTATCATAATTACAAAGGGTGGTATTCCACCATCCTACTCGCGTTAGTTGATGCAAGGTACGACCATTTATTTTAGTTATGAGGACGGTACATCATATACATACATATGAATTTTTAGATACCGATTTGTTTATATCAATGTTGGTAGTCCAGGACGGTGTAACGATTCCCAAATTTTTGAGTCATCAACGCTGAAGGCACAATTAGAACAGTGTTCTCACCGTCACGAAATGAGTAGAACTATTTTAGATGTTGATGTGCCGGTTTTCATAGTAGGAGACTCAGCTTTTCGTTTCAGCAAAATATTGATGAAGCCTTATGCATCCCAAATAATGTAAAATGAAAGGGAAAAAAGTTTTAACTATTCGCTTTCGAAAGTGCGAAGGGTTGTTGAAAATGCCTTTGGTCATCTTAAGGCCCGATTCCGACGAATAGGCAAAGGTATAGACAATAAAGTCGAAAATACGAATGCTATTATCAAAGCATGCTGTGTTCTGCACAACTTCTTAAACGAAAGAAATGACAACATTAACGAAAAATGGATGTCCGCTTTGCAGGATATAGAAAGGAATCGTCAATATCCACAACAAGAAATGTCTGTCAACGATCGTCAAAATAGTGCAGAAATAATTCGAAATAGTCTAGCTACCTTTTTTTGTAAGTAGAGCTAATTTTAACTGGTATTTTTTTTTAATAAATACTTTATTTATTAATTCAGTCTTTTGTTACAAAATAATACCTCAGTATATTAAAATAATAAAACAAAAACCCAATTCAACTCATTGTAAAAACCAAAACTTAACTACAAGTAATTGTATCAACAAAAACATAGTTTAACTACAATATGTAGCCAATGAATTACGAACGGAATTCGGATGTTAATATTACAAAGTTTATCAGTTTTTTTTTTAATTTTTTAATATAAATACAGCAAACTTAATAACATAGACCTTATATGTTAATCAAAGCTTCAAACTCTGTTCAAAATTCGTTAATTAACAGAATTCAAAAATATCAAAATCTCTAAATTTTTAATCAGAATTTCTAGATAATGCTGGGAAGTTTTTTAGCTCAAATAATTTCAGTATAAAAAAGTGCACCTTTGAATGAGCTATGCATATCCAAAATCTTTTTGGAAACTCTGATAAAAAGTTTGAGATTTTGACATTTTTGAATTTTGTTAATTAACGAATTTCGCACAAAGTTTTAACCTTTAATTTATATGGTCTATGTTATTGAATTAACTTTGTTTTCATTGTTAAAAAATATGGTAAACTTGAAAAATAAACATCCGAGTTTCGTTCGCAATTCACTGTCCACATATTGTGTTTACTAGGACAAAAAATTAATTCATTTATATGCAAAAGCAAGAACTCACTTCAACTATTAAGGGCCGTTTGCACCATGTCTAGTTAATTCTAACTCCCAGTTAAACATCTTTATCGACGTTATCGACACCCATCATATAACATGTGATCGATAAAGCAGTTAACGTGCTTAACTGAAGGATGTACCTCCAGTTAGCGTTAACTAGACATGGTGCAAACGGCCCTAAGAAAGTAGTATAAATATCAATACTTATTTCTTTTGTAAAAATTCAATGATTGCCTTATTTGCTTGTTTGTTATCATTAACGTATTCATCTAAAATTTGAGTTCTTATCATTTCATTTTCTAAAAATGCTATACTGGTTTCTCTTAAATCTATATCACTTTCTCTCAAATCTTTACTACATTTTTCCATTTCCTTTTCATTTTTATCTAGTTTTTCTAAAAATTTCTTTTGAAAATTTTTCTTTCCCGATGCACGGGCAGCTGCTGATGTCGACGGTGTTGGGGTTGCACAATTGGAAAGCGAAGTGGGAGAAACACCACATTCATAAAGATCGGCCGATGATATCTATAGATAGTGCCACAATTTCACTATTATCTGTAATTTAAAAAGTACATACATATGTACATTATACTACATCACTCTTCATAAAAAAATCGGTACTTTTTTCCCATTGAAATTATAAAATCTATTTTATTTTAAGACTTGCCCCAAAATATTTCGAAAAATATTAGGATTTACGTGAGCTGGACCGATTTGAGAATACCTCCAAAAAGTGTGTTTTTTGTGAATAAAAACAATATTTTTAAGTATTTTTTGCAAAAAATCACCTCAGATAACAAAACAATTTAAGCTTAAAAAATTTGCATAGAAATATTTTTAAAAAATGATCAACGGAATCATTCTTTTCTTAAACAAAAAAACAGCATAAATAATGTCAATATGATTCCCATGAAAAATTTTTTGAATATTTTTATATAATTTTTTTAAGCTTAGCATGATTTGTCATCTCAGGAGATTTAAAAAAAAAACCTTTTTGAAACAATTTTTATTTATAAAAAACTCCAGTTTGGAAGGTATTTTTAAATCGGTCCAGCTCACGTAAATCTTAACATTTTGCTGAAATGTATTATTATTATATTAGAAGATAACATTAGAAATATAATATTATAACATTTTTAAATAAAATGTTCACGCATTCATATAAAAGGTAAATTTGTATTTGTTAATGTTTATGATTTTGACATAAAATAAACTGATAATGGCTGAATTTCTTTATTCATTCTGAACGTTTGGAATAAACTTTTTTGTTTACTTATTCTTTAGAACGTTCCTGATGATATGTTAACGTATATTTCAAACGTATTCTGTTTATTCCGGCTGTGAAATGGGATTATCTGGAATGTATAAAGAAACGCAGCCAATAATAACATACAGGTATGTTCTGCAAATGATTTCAAATCGGCGCGATTTACAAAATCTATTTCGGAGGATTTATAACAAAGAGTGAAACATTTGGCAGTAAATCGACGGCTATAACGTAAAGGATGTGTTTTTAGCAGTTTCCATTTGA